ACAAGGCTGGCTCCGCCACGTCTCCAACTTTTAATAAATATAATTTAACATGTATATATATAACGTAATTTTCCAACAAAGACTATCTGGTCGGACACCTCGGGTGGCTATAACTTTGCCCTTTGGATAAAAATAATAGTTTGGTACACAAAAGGTTGGCTAGTTGAACACCATGAGAAAATTATACAGCATATATACTAGTGAAGACCAAAAAACAGAGAAAAATAATGCTATTAGTGAAAATTGAACTCACTTGAGAAACTTCAGACTTGATGTTAGTATGAGGAAGTTGTGTAGAGAACAATCTGTTGCTAGCTGCTCTCATCAAATCAACATTATTATAATCTAATGATCTTTTCTTCAAGAATCTGCTTAAACTTGCCATTGATGAATTCTTCAAAATTATTGCACTTTAAATTTTACACAAAAAAAGGTACTCTCTATGCAATTGACCTTTTTTTTTTTTGTGTACCTCACATTGGAAAAGAAAGATAGGACACACTTTTTTTATAACCAAAAAGTTTTGTACTATTCAACCAGACTTCTTTGCTGTATTTTTTTGTTTGGACTCTTCAACATGAAAGTTAGCAACAAAAAATATGCCAACTAGTAAAACTACATGTCCCTTTTCGAAATTTAAATTTGATGGGTTTAACTTTTTTATAAAGGATGCGTGTGAAAAGAGGTTGGGTTCAACTCCAAATCATCGAGTTTATTATGTTACATACGTTCCTAGTTATATCGTTTCTCTCGTACTACTATTTCTTCATTTAAAAAAGAAATGATAAAAAATTCTCTATTTCATGTTGTTTCAAATACAGGTTTTTAATTTATTTCTTGTTTAACTTATTTAAAAAATAGTTATTTTTATCATATCAAATTGTTTTATTATTATCAAGAAAATGAGAGGATGTGGGACCTCGAGATCACTAGCTAATTGTAATCAATCAGTACAGTGTGCATGCACCTATTCTTAGATAATTCTAATACATATTAAATTTAAAAAGTCGAAAATAATGATATTTATATTTAACGAAGAAAGGAATATATAGTGTAAATGGAGGGATTATAGATCGATATAGTTAATCAATTGAGTTATTAAAAATTATATAAAATATGCTATTGTATAAAAATTTGAATGTTATATTTATTTATATTATATCTTAAATCATTTAAATCTATCATCTTATTTTTATTTTATTGATTTGTCACAATCAAATTCCGCAGGCCAGGTGATGTATAGATCATAATGTCAATTTTCACATTTTTGAAAATAATAATAATAATAAATGCATGTATTTAAATTTGTGTCATTAGGATAAGGCAAGAAAAATGAAAATGAAAGAAAGGGCAATTATTGTACACCATGAATTGAAGATTGGACCAATATGGATTTATTTGCCTAAAAAAATTTATAACGAAAGCCAAATGAGGAAATATTGGACCGGTGAAATCAGAATTTAGAGTTTATAGATTTTAATTTTTAAATTATAAATATATAGTTTATAATTTAAATTATTAAATTTTATCAAATTTGGTAAGTGAGTACTCTTTTAAGCCTAAGCGTGTAAAATAGAAATACTATAAATAAATAAATAATAATAATAATAATAATAATAATAATAATAAAAAGAGATTCTAAGTACTTGGTACATATAATTCCTCTAATATTATTTTTTGTTTTGTTTTACACATCTCTTAAAAAGTTATAAAAATATATATATATATACTTCTATACTAATTTACGCTTCAATTTTTTAAGACACTCTATATTTAGATATCTTATCCATTAGTATCAAAATTAACAATGGAGAAACTTTACGATATTCATACTTTCAAATAAAAAATAAAAAACAATTTAAAGACAAAATGGAAAAAAAATAAGAGAATTCTATTTTGATTTTGTACATTGATAAATAATTTAATAGATATTTTTGTAATGTAGATAAATAATATGAATATTGAACGGAAGGAATAATATTTTTTAGTAGTACTTTATCATGTGTATTGTTTAGCTGAATTAAATAGTGAGTTAGCGATCATTGACAGATATGGTATGCAGTGAATACAGTTGTTCATTTTTAAATCAGAGATTTTGAATTTGACCCCTAGATATGTGATTCTTAATAAGAAGCGTTTCCCTTCGAATGACACTCCACACAACACAAATCTAAAATAATCTAGCTCAAGTATATAATACGATGTAAAAAATAATTAAAAATTAAATTGTGAAAATTAATGGTTTAAGTCAGCAAACATATTTTTATTGTTGGCAAAAACACTAATCACAACATAATTAATTTAGGGCAGATTAAAAGAATCCATGTGATGCAATGAATCGAAATCCTTTAAAAAGAAAAACAGCTGTAGCAATCGGCCGTAAAAATCAATGCATTTGTCTTCTTCCATATAATCATCTCAATGTTGCACATACATTATTAATTGTCCTTTAATCACTTTTTAGTAATAATAATAATAATAATAATAATAATTAAGTAAATAGCGAAAGACTCAAATTTTACATGTAATAAATGGTGAAATATACATCGAAGATGTTTTTTCACATATATAAAAATGTTTAATAAAAAAAGATTGGATTTTATCAGACCTTTAACTTATTGTTGAATTCACTATTAGGATAGATAAATGTTTAACCTGCAATATCTAATAACGAGTTGAAGTAGTGAATCTATTGGTACTAGGGGTGTCAAATGAGCGGGTTATTGAAATTAGAGATATTAAAATGGATTAAAATAGAAATCGGGTTGGATTTTGACCTGTCTAAATTTACTTTGGGCTCAAATGAGTTGGGTTCAAATAGGCTAAAAAGCGGGTTGAGTCTTGACCCGCCTAATTTGATTCAATTAATCTCAATAATTTTAACATAGTGATATTTGATTTTTATAATCACAATTCAAATTTCAGCTCAATTTTTTTTTTTAAAATGTAACAAATGAATAGATAAATCCTAAAAGATGTTAAATAGATAATAATCCATATCTTTAATATAACAACATATTTTAATAAAGAGTTTTCAAACGGCTTGAAATTGGAGATTAAATAGGACTTAATTGAAAATCCGCTTAATATAAGTTAGACTTAATGAGTTGAGATTGAACATAATTCAAATTATTTTGAATCCAACCTTAACGGAATTTCTATGTCTGAGTTTATTTTTGACCCCTTAATTAATACCATAATAGTGATATGCAACTTTAGATTTAACGATAGCCTATTTATCTTTCGAAATGGAGATCCTTGTTATAACATTAATAGCATGTGCTTGTCCTTTTTTTTTTTTCCTTTGTCAATAAAATTATAGTTGCTGAAAATATTAAGTATAGATTAATTATTTTCAATAGAGACATTTTTTTTTGTGTGTGAAATTAAAGATCTTTCATGTGACTTTGTCCTATTAAAAGTATATTGGGCTTGGCCTGATTGGAGGCACCAAGCCCAACCCATCTAAATTTCAGCAAATTAAGCTAAATTACATCGAATCGAGCAAGTTTAGCAGCACGACGTAAGACGTGAAAGTAGAAGTGAAAATTGATACACTGGTCGAGAGAGTTTCAGATATTTCATGGGGTATTGATACTGCAAACTATTAAAACATAACTGGTGAAATACATGGAAGCTCGTCTCTTGGGTACTATTGCATAACAATAATTTACTACCAAGGTTTAAATATAAGATTTGCAAGACTGTGGGTAGATTATTACACTACTATGTTGGACAGGGTTGAAAAATAAATTTTCATGTTCAAAAGATATAGTAACTTAAGTGTAAATGCTTTGTGCCACTGAGTTGATGTGAGATGTTAGTTGTAGCAAGAGGTAGGTTTAGATCGAAAAAAGAATTTAAGAGAGATAATTAAATAAGAGGTCTAATTCATCAGTGGCCTCCTAGAATTTGACATTAATTTTTACTTAGATACCCCAAATTGACTTTGTTTATTTTAGACACCTCGTGTCATGTCTCGCTGTGTCATTTTGTCACTTTTTGCTGACATGACATAGTGAGTGTGATATACTCCTTACCAGCCCGTGGAGAGCTTATATTGAATCTATTTTTATTTAATTTTTTCTTCTTCTTCTTCTTTCCCATTTCAGCAACTGTTTTTAAAAACTTAAACTTCTTCCATGGAGAAATAAATGTAATAGTGCTATAACACCAAGAAATTTCAAGCTTAAACAACTTTTCTTATTTTGTTGCCATTTTTCCTCCTTGAAATGTTTTGAAAAAAATTGAAATATATTTTCTTAAAAAAAGGGAACTCTTTTTTTAAATTTGAAGAATTTGTTTTTATTTGAAGTTATAAATATGAGAAATCAGTTTTGCAAAAGAAATTGTGCTTTTGTAAACAATTCCTTTCAAATAGTTAAATTACTGTAAAAATATATCAAATAAAATTAAAATAATCTAGGGTTAGGGGTTGCGGAATGTAGAGAAATCTGGTGGGGGAGAGGTTGTGAATCAGGGATGATGGTGGTAGAGAAAATAACATAACACTTGTAAGTGGTCAATTCTTTTTAAAATTATTTGATAAGATAAAAATTGAAACAAATTATTAAATCATTGATCTTTTTTTAAAAAAAAAAATAATTCAAAATTCATCATTTAAAAATTATTTTCGATATATATGTCATGTGTCATTGTTTAATTCGTTATTTTGATATGTCATCAACGAGTGTGTTACACACATCTTACATATTTGCCTGATTATTAAAAAAAATATTCAAAATGACACACTAAAAATAACATGAGGTGTCTAAGTGAAAATTAGTGTCAACTAAGGAGTCAGCTATGAATTAAACCTAAATAAAATATAACACCATTTTAACTGAATGAGAACATGACCTTAGATATGATAGTTCAGATTAAATATAAAAGATTGTGCATTATTGCCTTATCGGATGTAGCAATATTTCTAGTAAACGATTTATGTTATTTTTTCTAATATACATATATTTTATATATTATTAACTATATTTTTAAAGCATCATTTTACGCAACTCCTATATTTCCAAACCTATAAATATACATGCAGATTATCTAAACCAAATAAACAAGCTACAATGTTAAATCAATTGCGTAGATTTTCCTACACAATCTGCTTCTTGTTGCTCTTGATTACCACCGGAACCCTAAGATTTCACCGTTTCGTTGAAGGCCTACAACGGAGGATCCACGTTTCCGACGATCTTAACGGTGAACTAGACAATGAAGAGGGCGAAGAATTGAAACAATGGGGCGAGAAGAAACCCCCAAACTCCGAATCCGCCCCGCCCTCAAATGATGTCGAAAAAAGGAGCCCATCGGATATTCAATCTGAAATGATGAGGCGGGTCCTAGGACCCGTTTTCGGATTCGTGAAGCTCCGACTCGGAACTCGTCGGACTCCGGTCGGTATCTCTATTTACCTTTGAATTCTTTGTTTTTCATTGATAATTTAATTACTGATTTATATGGTAGTTTAGTTGTAAATGTGAGATCTCGAAAATCATCAATTTCTAGGCTGCCTTGAGCAGAGAGAGGGCTTTCAACCCACAAACTCTAGAGAGCATTTCCTTTCTTAGTTGCCTCAATTAATTTTATCTGGGATTACAAGTTAATATATGTATATATATTATTTAATTTTCTAGTACAAATACCGAATGCATAAAGCATGAACCCCACTTAGCTTCACCTCTGTTCTGGAGATTACATTTTAATGTTTCTTCCGTATTGGGGTGAAAGAGGTCATAATAGATTGGAAGGGATATACTGAAATCATATATGCACAGCAAGTTTGGGATTAAAACATAATGATTGATTGATTTTAATTGAGTGTGTGGTAAAGGGAAGGATCCACTAAGGATCAAAACTTGTACCCTAGAGGTTGGGAGCTTTAAAAATGAGCTGTTACTACACAAAATCGTATGACTAACTGAAAAAGAATTAACTTTTTAGTTATAGATATCAATGTTAATTTTCTTGTTTGAGTATTGTTGTTGGATGCAAGGTAATAGAACCGTATTTGTTTAGATTATAATGATTTTCATTTTTCAGGAGATGGTTACTCATGTTGCCAAGCGGTGGGTTAATCTAGCAAGATCTGAAGGAATGGAGACGAAGTTCATAGGTGTTGATTGGACCACGATAATGTTCACCATGGAAAAAGGTCGAGACACAACAGAGGTTTGTTTTACTTTCCCAAATCAGATGTCTTCTAATTCTGTAACTGCTGATATTGCTTATGGATGCTTTTTGCAAAGAGATTGTTCAAAAGGTTGAAACAATTAGGGAGTTTGGTAGAAAGTTGGTAAGTTTTTCCTTATTAACTAGTTGAAGATATGATGGAAGAGAATCAATCTTAATACATACCACAAATGAAGAGCAGATTAAATATCACTTGAAGGAACTTTATGGGAAGATTTTTGAGAATTTGTAATAGGGAAATGAAAAGTGAAGCTTCAAAGAAACATAAAGAAAACACTTTCCCATTGTTAAACCTGTTTAATGTCAACCCAGAACTCTCTGTAAATATTAGCTCTTTCTCCTTGAAAATCAATAAGTAAGCCCACTAAACCCGAAGGTGATGTAGCAGGGGAGGGTTAGGGTGAAAACAACTACTACTCCTTCAGAAAAATACCTCTAGCGATACTACATTACTCCATTTCAGATATAATGTCAAGCAACTTGAGGGTTAACCCTGCATTTTCAATTGCATTGTGTGCTACCAACAAACCATATTCCTTTTATTCAAAGGAGGTATTCTCAAATGCAAACTATTAAATATGGTTACTTAATTATGCTAAGGGAATTTCAATATGTCAATATTTTGGTGTTGTTGTTATGATCATTCAGGAAAGTAGAATGAGCATTCTCTCATTGTTTGGATATTAACCTTATGGTAACTTTGCTAATTATCATTGGACAATCTCCAATTTGTGCCGTATTACTAGTTGCTAGTCACGGTTTCCTTCTTTTGTTATAAATGTTTTTACTTGACTCACAATTTTTTTTCAAAGTGTGCATGCAAATTCCAATTTACAATCAGTTAGCTTTAAATTTTACCCCTGCAACTGCTTTTATTGCATGTTTTGAGCTGGCTTAACTCAGATTCTGAATGCTAGAGGGTTTGAGATTTTGTAAGTCAATTTCGCAGTTGAAAAAGTTTTTGCTGGAACAAGAAGAAGCATATGAGATTAACATAGGAGACCAACTATTTCGAAGACCAGGTGACCCTCCTTTTGATGAAGTATTAGAGATTGAGGAAGAGAAGAGCAGACACTCTGAGTTGTAATGGTTAGAAACAAACCTTTCTTTTCTCCTCTATTCCTTTCTTGATTTGCAGGAATTTGTACATTAGTTCATTCTTCCGTGCAGTTCATTCAACGGTCCTCCAACAACATCTATTACGAGACAGGTTACTGGACATGGCAGTCATCTTATCCCTCACTATTTTTCTCCTGAGTTTTCTGGTTACCATCTTGTTCCCTTCTATCATTCATGATATTTTTTGCAACCAAGAGCTTATTAAATTATAGCTCTGCTTGACTAATAATTTACACATGTAGATTCCATAAGTTAGTTGCAGTAGGATGCTAACATTATAATATTGAACATCTTATACCAGGAAATACGTGTTAATATCTCAAAAGTTCACGAGTTGTGGTCATTTGCAATACACTCTTGAAATAGTCTCTTCTTAGGGAAAAAGGTCTGATATACCCCTCAACTTCAACTTTGTCATTTGGAGCTGATATATCCCTTGTTATGGAAGTGGTTCATATATGTCTTTACCGTTATACAAACGACTCACATATATCCCTACCGTTACAAAATGAGCTCATATATATCCTTTATTAAACGGAAGTTAAAAAAGTTAGTTCTAAATTTATACTTTTTTCTTTTAATTTTTTTCAAAATTATTTAGGGTTATATATGATTCTTCAATCAAAGTTCAAGGTATATTTTAACTTTTTTCATACACAAATTATTTTTTGACTTCTTTTATTATAATTATTTGAGTTTCTTATTCTTATTTCTATTTTTTTTTCTTTCATTCCTTTAAGAAGAAAAAATTTTAATTATATTTTTGTCTATATTTTAATTTGATTTTTGTATTCGAAGAAAAAAATTTGGTCATCTACAATAAATTTTACAAGAATTTTAGTGAAACATAAATAAATTTAATTATCATAATAATAATTCTAAATTAGTTATTGAAATAAAATAAAGTCAAAAAAAATAATATTTGACGAGGATTATACTTATTCATATGGGATTATATTTTTTAGAAAAAAATAATTAAAAATTAGATTAATTTTTTTTTTCATTTCCGTCAAAGGAAAAGGGTATATATGAGCCATTTGTTTACAAGTAGGGGTATATATGAGCCACTTTCGTAAAAAGGAGTATATCAGCTCTAAATGACAAAGTTGAAGGGTATATCAGACTCTTTTTCCTTTCTTCTTATTAAATGTTCAAGTTTTGGTAAGTAGAATTATTAGATGTTTTGTATCGGTGAACAATAATACAATGATTTCATTGAAGGGTTAAGATGTATATAAATTTGCATGAACACCATTATTATAAGTTATAGAAAGAATCATATTCTGTCTACTAGTTATGTCTTGGTATTCTCCTTTTAATAATAATTAATGATGAGAAATAAATAATATATCAATAAACTTTACTCAACAATTATAGACATCATGTGCGTCGTGTCTAACATCTCCTCCACTCCTTAAGATTGTTGTAGAAGTACGTGGAGATTTAACTGTGCAAATAAATTAACTCGTTTTGATAATTTATGAGTAATTATTAGTGATGATGTAATGATAAATATGTAACTACATATGAAATATTTTTTTTTGTAAAAAATATATATTTTTTCACTTATAATTTAGTCTCAATATATTTATTTATATTCATCAACATAAAAAGAATATTTTTTTCCAAAATTTCCTCATTATTAAATATAAAATTGACGTATCTAATTCATGAATCACATGTAAAATTTAAAAATTAGGTATGTTAATGTATTTGGACAAATGTGAATAATATCTACGAAAATTTCATTTAACAAAAGGCAAAATTAAGATAAAAATAATAACTTCACTAATAACATTTTTTCCCAAAATACATAAGGCACGTCAACGACTTCTCCACTCGTACAAGCAAACCGCTAAAAACCGGGAATACTTGAACCGGGCCCACAGAATTTGGCCAAACGGCATCGTTTTGAGAAAGAGTAAAACCGCTATCCTCACTTCATGAGCAAGTCATTTACACTGCAGCTTTACCGGTTTTGCCGGTTGTCTTTATCTAATTCACCAAAAAGATCTTAACTATATATAAACCATTCTCTCTCTCCGCCCATTTTTCGACACAGTTTCCAATCATTCTCGCCGGAGCTCCGACGTTATCTTCATCGATCACGTATCTCTCACCGCTTATCGGTTATGTAAGTATTCGGAAATTCAGCTCCGGTTTTAATTTTAGTTTAGCGATTTTATGTCCACTGATTTGTTGATCGGATTATTTGATTGTTGGATTATTTTGAGTTCAATCTGTTAATCTGATTTAGCTTTGTTCGGTATATTAATTAGTGCAGTGGATTCGCTCTTCGGATCTGAGCTATGTACGTCTGCTGAATGCTTGTTTATTACGTAATTTCTTCTCTACGATTCTGTACATGTTGCTGTTTTTTTTATCTCTGTTGTATAAATTACATTGATTTTACTCTAAGTTGGAACTTTTTAGAGTTTAGAGTAGTGTTGTTCAAAAGTAACTGATCCGTAGATTGAAAAATATTGGCAGACGAATTTGATAGTGAAAAATTGTAAATTGCTGAATGAATTCAAAAGTTCACAGTTAACAGAAATAAGACAAACACACAGAGAAAAAGGCACCATAAGTTTTCTTCAAGTTTTTCCTGATTATGTTTGCAGTTTGCATGTTTTGAAAAGTACAAGAGATGGTTCCATTGGAATAAATGTGACTTCAGAGGTATTGAGCAACTTTTATGTGTAATTGCTTTGAAATCTTGTGGTTTTGTGTCCTCAATGTCGCAAGTAGCTTGTTATAAGACTTGTAAGATCCACGATTCTGTAAAGAATTACTTGATATCATACTAGCTAATTTCGTGCATTTTTGGTACCAGAAGTTTGCAGAAATGTATTAGTTCAATAAACTTATCATATGTTTCCTCATAATTTCTTACTGATTTTCTTCGGGATAAATTTGAAATTTTGTTATTCAGAAGGCATGATGCCTTTTAAGCACTTGACCTCTGATTTCATGTGTTTTCTCTTTTTAAATCTCTTCAGTTTCATTTTCTAAAAGATGGCAAGTAATGAGGAAGGTGAAGAAACTGCTCCTCGTGGAAATGAGTGGGAAGTTGTATCACTCACACAATCAGCATATGCTGCTGCCCCTGGTCCAAAGCAGGTTGACTCGAATGATGATAATGGCAGTAGCACAGAGTATGTGGCTGAAACTTCCCAGGCAATGTTTATGTCTGGACACTTTGTCTTTCCACCAAGCCAACATGAGAATTTGCCATTGGAACCTGATGTTAATGAGATCAATAATGATCAGGAAGATGAAGATGCTGCTCCAGAACTTGTTGCTAATGAAGAGGGTAAATCAGATTTTTATGAAGGAAGTACAGAAACTAAAGGATCGAGCACACCAGAATTACCTGGTATTCAATTTTTTGATGAAAAGGGTAACCGGTTATCTATTGGTGCAGAATTTGAAGAAGATGCAGCCCTGCAACGCTTAAGTTTGGTAAACAAAGAGCAGAGTATCTTTGGTGTTGCTAACTATAGTTCATACCAGAGTGAAGAACACATGGGTTTCTCAGTAACAACAGAGGAAACCAACATTCTTGAAGAATCAGTTGAACCCTCTCACCAGGTTTTAGAGTCGGTCAGTTCGAATTTGCCAAATACAAAAGATGAAGATGATTATGATGCCGGTAACCTTCCTTGTCAAGCATGGTGGAAAAGACGGGCTGCTTCCCTAGTTGCCCATGCAAAAGACACAAATGCATTATGGTCTATTTTCATTGCTGCTGCTGTTATGGGTCTTGTGATGATTGGTCAGAAGTGGCAGCAAGAAAGGTGGCAAGTATTGCAAATGAAGTGGCAGGCTGGAGTCCATAGTGAGGTGAGTTGTTGCTGTTTGTTAAAAATAATTGAAAATGGTATCCCCATTGAGTTGAATAGTTCAACTTTGTGTCTCTCTGCAAATGGGTTTTTCTTTTAAGAAAGGAAAATGTAGAAAAACTAGCTAGAGTCACTTTGTAATACTTGATCTACCAGTTAAAGTATTACAAAGTCGCTCTAGGTGGTCTTTTCTGCATTTTTTGTTGATGCAATACTTGTCAGTTGGCTCATGGCTGACAATTAGAAAATCCAGGGAATTAACTAGCAAAGCAGATATTCTGATTGAGATAACTAAAAGAAGAAACATAAGATTGACCTTGAAAAGGTGTATTTAAACAAGATCCAGCTATCAAAATGTCTTCAGCTTTGCTGCAAGCCTGCAACCCATTTTCTTTGTCAACATTATCAAGTACCTTACTAGATTTCCTCCCTCCTCCATAACTATATTCACTCTTCTCTCCTCTTTGTGTTTTCATTTTATTGGTCACATGAGGTCCTTGATAGCTCATCAGTTTTGCACCATTACTAGAGTTGTTTTCATGAGGATGAATTTTGAATGCACTCTGAGGCCTGTACCATATGTTGACGTATACTTGCGCAAGCTCCTTTTCACATGGGCATCTCATTATATTCTTTCATGACCTACTTTTGGCGAAAGTGCAGTTGCTAATGTTTTCTTGTGGTGAATCTAGTATATAAAAATTTTGTTGTCAAACTCTGGAAGAGTACAATCTTTCCCCTACAATAAATACATAAACTACTTTGCAGATCTTACAGTTGAGTTGATTTCCTTCCTGTTGTTCTGTTGGATATGTTAGTATGTTACTGTTTATGCAAGAGTTCTTTTTTCTCGGATTCTCTGGGTGCTGTAGACCCTTGTCATCTGCATTTACTCATCATCATCTATTTCTGATTAAGTATTTTTTTTTAAAAAAATAACAAAATTAATGCTGCCAAGGAGGTTCGAACCGGTGCTGAAAATATTTGTGATTAAAGTAATTTATCTCTCTCAGGAATAAGTGAACTCCACTATCCATCTGCCTCAGAAGGGGATGAAATATACTTGTACTGCACACCTATGGTCTGCCTATTTTTAAATGGTTGACAATTCTTATACCTGTATATATAGAGAATTAGGGAAGAAAATAATTGCGCTATTTTATTAGTGGAAAATGGAGAGACCCTTGTATGATTTTGAACAACACCATATCATTCCAATCTGACAATTAAGTCTTCAAGGTTCTTAGGAGTTAGGATTTGCAAATCACATTCTCTAATTACAGTTAGTGCCTCAATCTGTAGACATAACTTGCTTTCAGAATTCCTTTTTGCTCTTGTTTTGATGGTGAATTACTGAACTTTTAAATCACGTTAGGATAAGGTTTTCGATTTTTTTTGGTTACGTTTTCATACTGATTGTTTGAAGAATGAATGCTGCTAAGCCTCGAAAGTGCAACATTTCCCTAAGAAACAATTTCTCTCTATAAAGTCCTCTAGGTTCCACTGGTAA